GGCATCACTTACCTTTATATGTTTTTTGCCCTAAAGATCACGATCCAAAATTGCCCCATGAGTAAGTTACTAAACATAGTTGACTACCAAAATATGTCAGTCTCTCTCTAGTGGTTCTTAGACACTTTATAAGCAATGTTAAGTGTTTATGTTGAAACTCAACATATTTTGGCGGATTGTCATTCCATTAGACGGACACTGACATGAGGCTTTACTTTCCTTTTATATATGTTTTGTCCAAAGAGATTGCTCACTGAATTTGGAGCTGTGTGGTGAGCACAGAGCGAACTATTTTTCCGCCTTTTAGTAAAAAAAAAAAGAGATTGCTCACCGAATAAGTTACATAGGCATGATTACCAAATTGTCACAAACATGTTATATTAACTTCTTATGTGTTGCTAAGTATAATCTTACTAATTTTGTAATTTTTGATGGCTTAGTATGTTTTATAAAGCAAAGGATACTCTTTGTAAGCTATGTCAAGTGTTTCTTGTTGAAGCATGACATTTTGATTGTCATTCCATTCGAGTGATACTGACATGAGGCATCACCTACCTTTACTATGTCTTGTCTAAAGATCATGATCCGAAATGTCTCACTGAATATGTTATTAAACATTGCCATGACTACCAAATTGTCACTGGTCACCAACTGTTGCACCTGTGAGTATTGGAAGATATGCATATGAAAAATACGAGTTCTTTATCCAACGAAGCAAAAGTTATATTATCATTTTGTTTTGTGATTGTATCAAGTTTTGCATGTGTACAATTTTGTTTTGGGATCATAGGGTTCCCTGCTAAGATCGTTCTTTTCTGAGTTAAGAGGATGCAGTTTTGTTGGATTGCCTTCTATTTCTTTATGCCCCTTCCAATTTATAAGGGGGGTTAACATTTTTTTTGAGATTGTTAAATTGAAGGGGGTTTGATATTCTCCTCTATGTTTTGCTGTTTCCACCCAAAGTACAGGAGGGCTTAATCAAACTTCTTAGCTGGTAATGCCACCTAAGTTTTTGGATGGGAAGTGCAATGACATGTGTCAGCGTAGCAGCCGCCCTAATTTATGTGTTCATTCTCTAGGAGCAACATGTTTAATTGCATATATTTCTACATGGTTGGGAAATTTGTAGTGTCCTTCCTGGTTGATATGTGTTTGCTGTCATGCAATTTGTGTTTTTTCTTTTACTTTGAAATTCTAGTCTTTATTCTTCCATCTTAGCAACCTTCACTTTCCATCTCTTTCTTTCCCTCCTACCCCAATCTACTCTTCTTGATCAACTCTCTCTCTCTGACACACACACACATGAACGCACGCTTATGCACATACATGCACGCGGGCACACACACACGTTCGCACGTGCACACAGACGCACTAGATCTCTTGAATATCTCTTGCTCTCCTCTCCCCCTGTCTGCTCTCCCTCTCATCCTGGATGATCCCACTATGTCAGCTTCCTTTTCTTACCTCCCAGAGAACAAGAAAAAAAATAAAAACCAAAGGGAAAAGGGAAAAATGCATGAAGAGAGGAGTGTCCTTGGTACGAGGAAAGGAAACGCATCATCCCTCTTCTTTGCTTCATTTTGTGGCCGTCCTTTGTGGGATCTTGAGACTTTCTATTCTCTTATTATACACCACTAAACTTGATTTCAACATCGTCATGTTACATGAATGATAATCACCTCCATGATTCATTTTATTACTGATCGTCTTGATGAAGTATCTTACTGTACTTTTTATAGTCTAATCTCTTTATTCGCCATTCTATTTTTGTTCGGCAGCTGCAGATAATGTCTTTAAGAAAGGGAAATTTGCTCAGTGTGTACCTTATTATGGGGATTAAATTTTTAGTAGGTCTCTTACTCACATCTTGGCCCTTTTAGCAATAAGTCATGCAACTTGGAATTCTCTAAATCAAAAAGCTCTTGTTGTTTATATTAGTAAATTAGTGTTCTGCCAAATTTTAGTTATAACCTGCAAGATGTTAGCAAAGAGATTCCGTAACCTGCATGTTCTGTCGATTTTGTGTCTTGCTTGTAAATGGTGGCAGATTACATGGGGAGCCATTTCTTATGCAACACAATGGACATTAATTTAAGACATGCAATTTACTTGTCATCAGCCTTCAAACTGTCAAGGATGTCTAAGTTGGACGCAGTGGTCAAGAATTGGATTCCCCTCTGATTCACTTTTGCCTTAAGCCAAGCAAGTGTCTTGCATTATCAGTTACACTTTACAAGAGTTAGACTAAGGAAATGCTCTGAAGGCATTCTAATTTAAAGCTTGGACCGCATGTTCTAGGACTCAGGACTCATTTCAATTGCTCTCTGATTCTCATAAATTGAAGATTAGGTGGAGTGTTCTTTGCGCTTGCTAGTTTAATGTGATTGTGGTCATTCATCTAGCATTTTTCTATTTTTAATTCAGATACTCAATCTTACGGGACTTGCCTGAGTCCAGTCAGCCTTGGGCGAGTAACTCAGCCTTGCCCTATAGATGAGGCTGAGTAACCCCAATTTGTATGTATGACTAGAGGGGCATAAATAAATTTTTTTTTTAAAAAAAACTCCAAAAATATAGGAATGTTGTATAAATTTTTTGTATTTGAATTGGATGTTTTTGGTAATGATTGATGAGTTCTTTTTGCTATAATACCATAATCCCTATTTTTATATTTTCCTTTTTTTTATGGATTTTTTAAAAATATCTTCTATTATAAATCAAAATTTTAAAATCTATTTTTCTGTAATTTTTTAAGCGTATTTGGACTTTGGTTTTATTTTACTTTTGAAGCCTTTGTTTTATTTTTCATATTTTTTTTTTTATGATTTTGTTTTAGATTTTTCTAAGGTTTCTTGCCCTGTGCGGGACTTGGGCGAGTACACTCGAGTACTCGCCTCAGCCAAGACTCGAATCCCGTGACTTTGTAGATGCCTGATGCCACTTCACGCATGGTTCTCATATTTTAGTGTCTGATTTTTAAGGTTTCTGGTTTGTGAAGAAATTTGCTCATATCATGATGTTCCCTGTGCTCCAGGCCTAGAGATAAGCTACTGCATTTGCTCTTTTCAAGTATGAATCTATGAACTTTTCTTCATTTGCTCTTTTCAAGTTTGAATCTATGAACTTTTTTTCAGGAGAGGGACCATGGAAATGAGGCGCTAAGGTTTCTTGGTTTTTTTCAATATGAGATTGAAACCCCAGGAAAATTCCTATGTACATGTCTGTAACATCAGTTTTTTGTGACATTTCATTGCATGTCTGAAGCATCAAACAAGGATACAACACCCATTCAAGTTTTCATCATCTAAGCTTAGTAGTCTCTGATGGAAGAGAGAGAGAGAAAGAACTGCAAAAAAAGATGCAGTGCAACTAAAGGGCAATTCCTGTATAAGAGAACCCAGAGAGATGTGTACCTGTCAATGTTTATTAAAGGGAAGACCAGTTGGGATCTAGAAATAACAGGACTGGAATTGAATATGAGAGAGAGGGTTTTCTAGATGGGAGAGATGTTTTAGTAGGTTATAGGAGTGATGTATCATTACCTATTATTAGTAGCCACTTCAAGATTTAGAAGTTAAGAGAGAATATCTTTTCATTAAAGAATAATGATAGATACATTGATTTAATTTGAAGATAAAGATAGATAGATCGATTAAAAAGAGACATTTGTCGCAAGAATAAAAAAAGCCGCTTTCTTGTTAGATATCCATAAAAGAAAAAGTTTATGTAAAGATGTAACCTTATAATATAGAACTACGGATGCAGCTCAAAAATCCATCGAAAAAGATAGTTTTTCGTTGATGAGTAAATAAATAGAGGCATAGATAAATTAATATGCCCTTGATCTATCTATTATTGCCTCCTTCAAGGGCAGAGGTTATGGGGATTTGTGTGGCACTCTCAATAGGTCGTTTTTTGAGTTTTTCTTCCGCATACAGCTGGACCTGAAATCCTCTTAGACATTTTGAGTCATCTAAATGCATAGATGTTGTGGCTCATGGGGCAGTCTAGAGGCTGGGCCGAAATGAGCCTGAGACAGGCCTGGGTTCGAAAATTTTAAAGCATGTTAAGCCCAGCCTTTTCTTTTCTAGCTAGCCCTAGCCCAGGCTTGGGTTCGAAAATTTTAAAGCATGTTAAGCCCAGCCTTTTTCTTTTCTAGCTAGCCCTAGCCCAGTTTTAAGCCATTCCAAGTCCGAGCCCAGCCAGTGGACCAAGTATGGCTGCCTAAG